TTCTAAGTCAAGCTTTCAAGTTTTGTAATCTCTCTTTATTAGTGAAGCTTTATCTTCTCTAACTCTTCTTCCTATTCTACTTTCAAGAGAGTGCTTTTGAGTTGTTAGTTGGGAAGGTTAGGTTGATTTAGTGCTAAGAAAGAGCGTTAAAGCCGCACGGACAACTCGAGAAAAGTTAGTTCGTGATAAATAGCTCGCAATCCAGTCTTCCACGCTCGCACATAGCACATTGAAATCGACTATCACTTCATTCGGGAGAAAATTCTATCGAACGATCAACCAATGAAAAGCCAATTGCATCTTCACAAAATCGCTCCCAACTCCTTGCTTCCAATTCCTTCATAACAAGCTGACACTTCAAAAACGCCGCATTAGCTTGAAGAGGGATAATAATGAATATTCTCCACTTAGCACTATGACAACCTTTAATACTGGATAAACATATTTCCTCTTCTACTTCCTCTTCTAACCTCTAACCACTTTTCTTAAAAAGATTCCTTTTACACCTTTAGATGATGGTACCCGGTAGTTACAGTAAGAAGTATAGATTAGGAAATACTCTTCATGTTGCTACTCTTTGTTATTTTTGTGAATGAAGTAAAATCTTCTTTATTGTTACTGCTCCTTGCCTGACGGTATTATCCTCTTCTTTATTCTTCTGTTCTTCTTAGACTGTTTTAGACATCCCATAAAAAAATAAGAGAGCTCTCATCTCCATAGAAATAGGAGAATAAACATTTTCACAAACTTTATGAAAATAGAAGATTTTGTCCTTAATCTTCCCTGCATTACAATCCGCACCTCCAATGGAGTATGATTAGTGGAGTTCTACACAAAGGCAGGACTATTTGTCGAACACCCAAAGATTTTGTTATTCTTCTTATTCTATGGTTTGTCCATGGTAGCAGTTGGACTTTCTTTGTATATCTCCGGTCATACTTTGCTTTCTTGGACAAGGAAACAAAAATAAAACAAACTACTGATAGAAGCCTGTTAAAAAGCTGTAAATAATATTACATGATAATAAACTGTTGAGAAATTAGGGCGAAGAAAAATAAGAATTGACACAAATCCAGAAGAACACACAGAGATTTAACGAGGTGCGGCAATGTGCCTACGTCCTCGGGAGCAGAGCGGAGAATTTCACTATTTCAGAGGAGTCCACTACATACCCATAGGGTTACACATCATAGATAAAACACCCATAAATAAAATTACCAACACGCCCTCGCTTCCCGCACCCCACTAATCTCTAAGAGATACACCTCTTCACCCCAAGAGACTCCAAATTTTGGTATATTGGTCATACCTAACATAAACACAAACATTTAATGTTGATAATGGGTTTAATTTCAGAAACCAATGCCAACACCTATTCCCATTTATTTCACCCTTTTTTAAAGTTTAAACTCGTTTATTGCATCAACAACAATAATATACTGATTTACTCGTTTCAAGTTTTTTACTAAATAATTCCAAGAATTTAAAATGCTATGAAATATTTTGTGCATGTTAAAATAAACTCTTCAGAAATTTCACCATTATTGAAATCATCCCATATAGGATTACCATTTCATATTGAACAGCGAAATGATAACTGAATAAACACCAGCATCACATCCATAAATTTCAATTCATGCACAAGATAGAGGGAATTATCTAGTTACTTAAAAACAACGGATAATTTAAAAAACCAAGTAAAGAACATGTTGCTAGATTGCCGAAGGGGACAATCCGATCAATTAGTAATTTTCAGATAAAAATCGGACAAAAATAGATTTTAAATCAGGTATTCATTTACAAGAAGTTCGGTCGTCGATGCATATGGCGATCATCATCGTGACTATCGAGGCAATAGATACCTTGTCATGTGCTATTCTACATTTCTTCCAAACTCGCAGGGACAAATTCGATGCATCCATTTACATCTAGTTGCTCACTTATCACTACAATCTGCTACCAAACAGTACAAAGCAAGCGGAACTCCCCCGATTAAACACTTCAATTCATAATCACACGAGATCACAACCAAACAACAGAATTCATATTGAAATTTACCCAATCAAACTAAATCTACAAAAGTAATGAAAACATACCAAAAAGCCGTATATCCATAGAACTCAACGCCAACGGACATGAAAAGGAGGGAAGCGATGGAGAAGAAAGCCTGCCCCAACCTAAGAGACAAACTGGCTGCCGTGCCGAACGATCCAGGAACCCCATCCATCGAACAGATTTCACCTCGCCGGGGCAGAACAACAGCGCCAATGCATGTAATCGACGACGCCTCCGCTTGCCCTTTTCCTCCCAATACCGCATCCTAACCTCTCTTCCTACCTTCCCTGCTTCTCCTCCTTCCCATGAAATGGAAACAATCGATCTCTTCTCCTCCTTCAAGTTCGTCTGAATCGCATCCGGTTGATTGATAGAGGAACAATTCAAATAATGGATGGAGATGGAGATGGAGGGGATCGGAGCAACTTGGTTCGATTCGGAGGCCTTTTTGCTTTGTTCTTCGCAAATGGAAACGTGGCGCTCAGCTTGCGAGCGTGAGAGAGCGTTGAAATTATGTCATGGAATTTGTTCTCCACGTTTGTCGTGGAGCATTTAAATTAAGATATTTACTTTTATTTATTTATTTACTTTCATAAAAAAAAATTACACGAAGCTAGGGCTGTCAAAACGGCTCGTTGTTCGCGAACAGCTCGTGTTCAGCTCGTTAATTTTGTTTGATAAGTTAATGAGCTGAACACGAACTAAGATGTGTTCGTTCGTGTTCAGCTCGTTTTGGCTCGAAATACTACTCATCAAGTATGTGTATATATATATATATATAAAGTAGTATTTTAAAAAAATCTAATTGACTATAAGACTACAAAGATTTATAATCAATTAAAATATTGATTAAGAAAATAGAATAAAAATTATTAAATTAGATTCAAATGATGTTTTAATATAAATAATAATTTTTAAATCTTGTTTAAACTCTTATTGTCTTATGTCTTATGCCTACATGATTAGGGTTGTTAAAAGGACTCTTTGTTCGTGAACAACAAATGAGCCGAACACCAACACAATTTTTGAACTCGAAATATAAACGAGCCGAACACGAGCGTACACGAAGCATAACATGTTAGATTTGAATAACAACCTCAAAATGGACAAAATATAGAGACTCTAGTCTGTACATACAAATGACCAACTGTCAGGTGACAGCGCGACATACGCGTTGAGGCGGCACCCGATCATGTCGAACTGTCGCCCAACGATTGATCTCTGCATGTACAACAATATTTTATCCTCGTGATGAGAAAGGACATCATTTATATTAATTTATATTTATTTAAAAAAATCAATTATATTAAATTTCATGTAATTTAATATTTTTTTAGGGAAAAACAATATGTTAAACTCGTAAATTTATGACACTAATTTATAAGATTTTAAATAATGATTCATGCCTTGAATAAATTAACACATAAAATGATTTAGTTATGCAAATGCATCATATTAATTTATATGAAATATTTTTCTCTTTGTTGATATAAATAAATAAGCTCACATGTTAATGTAGAAAAATTTTAAAAATACATAAAATACATATATAATTAAAAAATAAAAAAAATCAATCATTATTGCAAATGATTTGTCAGGCTTCAAAAAATATATAATTTAAATTTAAAATTTCAAAAAATAATCTCCATCCCAAGGGGATAGTTCGGGCTTGAAATGGGTTGTCCATAGGCGGACCTGCCCAGCAGCTATTCTTAGTGCACGAATGACTCATTTATTTCTTACTAGCAATTGTGTAAAATAAACATTCATAAATTTCAAAAATGGCTAACCATCGAGCGTCACATCATTATACACGGCGGGCGATGTGACGGTCATTTATTGACCTTCCAGACGTGCATAGAGAATATATTTTCCTGATTTTGGCACTAGTCTTGACACCATTAAAATCATTCAAGATAAGTTGTAACTAAGGCCGAAGCTACGGTCTAAATTTCAAGAGAAAATAGATTAATTGTTGGAGGGGAAATTACAAAAAGACCACCCAAAACTAACTAATTACAAATCAAGCCCTCTCTTTCATTCATTTTTCAAATTCTCGCTTGAAAATCAAAATTCGTGGTAAACACCAACCCATATATATATATATATTTTATCAAATTCTCAATAATTTGGTCGTGGCACCGCTAAATACATCGGGTAGGCAATTCAAAGAAATAACTTGAAGGCTTAATTTGTAAATATCAATGTTTTGGGCTGTCTATGTGTAATTATCCCAAAACTTTTTTTTTACCTTTTTTTAATGCTTTTTTTAATGAATGGAGAAGATAAAAAGGGTGCCGACACTACGTAAGTTAAGTGATTCCGTAGGACCGTAGCAGCATTGAAAAAAAAAATCCTATTTAACTAGCTATCATTAGCTAATATTTACAATTAAGTAGTTAAACATTATAATTATAATTAATTAATTTGCAATCATTAATAAAAATAGGTCTATTTTTTTCAAAACTTATCATTTAGACATCTTTGAGACAAAATTAAAACCTTTATATCATAATAAAAATCTAATATATAATAGTTGAATATTTGAGTTAGCAACAATACTTCAAAATATAATATTGCCGGTTTCTTATATGTTTAGATGAATAAAAATCCTATATCTTTTGATGATTATAACTTCTATAATTATTATGTAATATATGTTAAAAATAATGTTAATGATAACAGTAAATAAATAAATTAATTAATTCTAAGTATAATTGTTAAGCCGTTTGAGTACTAGAAGTTGAAGAGGGGCTCCTTTCATCCATAGCCTATAGAGAATGAGCAAGAACTAGAAAGAGCGAGAGTGTGGTCTGTTGGTTAGAGTCTCAAATTAAGGATAGAAGAGGTGACACGAACTTCTTGTACGAGGGAAGAAGAAGAATCGTGGGCATTGATTGAAGAGTCGAAGTCTGGCGAGACTCTAATTTGCGAGTTAAGGTAAACTTTTGTGTTATAATTGTTTATTCGAATTTTATATACACTAAATTGATATATATATATATATATATATTTAATTTGTTAGTATGAAATTATGTTAATTGAGGTTAGGTAGGCTAATAAGAAAATTGTGCATGAGAGTAAGGGAAGAGATCGATCTAAAAGCCTATAAAGTAAATTTTAAGTCTTATATTATTATTAGAATTAATGATATAGTTAGTCAAATTAATGTTATTAAACTTTTATTGAAATAGAAAGTGTGGAAGAAGGCTATTCAGATTTAAAATTGATAAGAGATTGATGATATAAGTAAGTGAAGGGATAGATGTTAAAGAGATCATTTAAGGCAAATATGAGTAATTCCTTTCTTATTGGAATTAGATTAATGATTTATTTAGAAGTTGCATTTCAAAATGATCAAAGTGAACTTGCAACATGTTATTAAAAATAAATATTTCATTTATGTTGTGTATTTCAAATGTTAGAAAGATGTCTCACAAATGTGAGGAACATAATTAACATATGAAAGTACATTTAAATGATTTTTGAATTGATATGAAATGGTAAATAAATGATTAAGTTAATCAAGATTCACTCCCAGATGGTACTGGCAGGGATGTCATGTATTTGTGCACAATAAAGAAAATGGAAATGGTAAAGATAAAAGGTGTAATTCGAGTGCAAAATTTTCATGGTATTTACATATACAAATTTGATAATACATTTGAGTATTACGGTGATCCTAAGATAACATCTTAAAAGTAAAATAAAGGTTAATAATATAAACATTTAAACTGAAATAAGAAATGTTATATTAAACTGAAAGATTATAGTTCGATAAATTAATGAACTACATTTCATTTAGTCATTTATGCATAACATACACATATTAATTTAATGAATAATAAGATTATAATTGCTGACCAACTCATAAGAACTTAATATTGAATTAAATTATTTTTTCAAGAAAAGCAGTAGATTGATACATTTGACTTGAGGGATTTAGTTTACATGATGAGGACTACTGTTAATAAATATTATGATTACAGTCCCTTTTTACTATTTTTTTCTTTTGGGAAGTGATATATTGTCATATACTAGCTTGAAATATCGTGTACAAGCTTTAATGTGAATGGTTTAATTTTAATGTGTTTTACTTTGTGATTTCTCAATGCCTCTTTTATATATATAAGAACTTTTGAATATCTATGGAAAGTAAACTAAATATTAATATGGTTCGACAGCAATTCTTAACATGGTTAATTCAAAACTATCAATTCAAATTGTGACATATTAGATATTGAAAGCATATATTATGTTACTTAAGCCTTTTGAGATTTTTAATAAGTAGATAAGCATATGATAAAAAATAGTTAATATTCTTCATGGGAACAAAAATTATCTATCTTTTGATTCTTATTCCTTTTAAAATTAAAGATAATTAAAATACTTATATTTCAAAAATTTTATGTCTCTAAGCTTTTTAGATAAATAAAATAACTATAACTTTTGAAGTTTATATTTTTTGAGATCTTTCAATATATATATATATATCCTTATAATACTTTTAGAAAAAAGAATTTATCTTTTGAGATATACATCTCTTATGATTTTCAGAAAAAAACTTTCAAAAAGTAAAACACATGAATCCCAGTTCATTTTAATACCATAATGACCCCCCAAAAAACATAATACATAGGAAGCACAAAACTCTTATGTAATGTATCTATTGGGCTGTCAAAAAAGTTTGTTCGTGAATAGCTCATATTCGGCTAGTTAAGTTACTCATGTTTTAATCATTCATTAAGTAAGCAAGCCAAACACAAACAATCCTTTGTTTGATCATGTCCAACTTGTTTTAGCTCGATTAAAGAGCTTATATATATTATCATATATATGTATATCTAATTTCAAAATCATTGCAGCTTGTATGAACATGTGGTTTTGCGGCTTCGACTGCACATAAGTGGTGTATATTCATCTATTTTTTAAATTAATTAAAACTAGTCAATTTCAAGTCGATCATGAATAAGAATATTTGAATAGAGTCAAACACAAACACATTGTTCACGAGAAATTTCAAACAATTTCGAATGAGCCAAGCACGCCCGTTTACATTCCTTGTATCCGCATGTCATGCCTTGACTTTACTATTTACATATATAACACTTCAGTGTTTTAACCCAATTCATGAAAAGGTAAATGTCCATCGTGACCTGTATGGGCTATGAAATCATGAGCAATTAGGAACAATGGATTAACGCTCATGCACAAAAAAATATTTCCCCACAAAACGGATGAAGCTCCAGCACCATTTTCTACCAATTTGACTCTTACACCCAAGTATTATAGTGCCTCATACAGTCTAGTCAATAAATAGAAGGAAGATTTACATACATACTCACTCAATTCCTATGTATTTTACACATCTAGCACCAAAACTTCAATTTTTACATGCATATCCCAACTTACCTATGCTTGAAAAGGTGAATTTCACGTTTTTAAAGTGAAAATTGTAGTATTTTTATGGGAAATGAAATATCTGGATCCTGGGATGTAACTGCCTCTAA